AACTCGCCACGGGACGCGCCACGGAACGTGCCAGGAACGTGCCACATTGCCATGCAAGACGTGTCGAAATTGATGTACCGTGCCGAAAACTGTGCTGTGCTGCGCCACGCTGAACTGCGATGTGCCATGCCGCGAGTGTGCTCTATAATGTTGTGGATCGAGTCATCCTTTGCATCCGAGTCCTGACCTAACTGACATGGATCTTAAGCTCGAGCTGCCTGAGCACATAGTAGCTCCCCCAGAGCTAACTGACAGGGGAACATGCCAGGAGGACGCGCCGCGGAAAGTTCCAAGGGACGCGCCAGGCGACGTGCCAAAGGACGTGCCATGGGGACGCACCGCGGGACGTGCCAAAGGGGACGCGCTACGGAACGTGCCGATGGACGTGCCACCTCATGCTGGACATCTGCCTGGGCGAACTGGAAGGGGAAACAAATGGTTTGCTCGAGACGGCCTCAACACATCTTCATGTCAGACGCCCGTTCCAGGCCCCCAAGAAGGCCTCAGGAGGCCCATGTTAGATACCCCCTAGGTGGCCTGGACAAGTGAAAACACGTGGTTCCGCCATGTGAAATACCCCCCTGGGCGGCCTGGACACGGAAAACAACGCAGTTCCAATTCGGGACAATCATGTTTGATACCCCCTGGGTGGCCTGGACGCGCAAACACACGTGGGACCAGCTCAGGGCAACCATGTTAGATACTCCCCTAGGTGGCCCGGACACGTTAAAACACGTGGCCCTTGCTCGGGACAACTTTGTCAGATATCCCCCTGGGTGGCCTGCACACGTAAAAATATCCTGGCGAAGGACCCAACCATATGCAGTTGTGAGTATCGCAATTGTGAATATCTTCTTCGGTGGCGCTCCCTATGGGGCCACGAACCGCATGAGGGGTGCGCCGAAATGTGGCGGGGTACACAGCGCAAAGGAATACGATATATCTGATTACGAGAGAAAGAACGCGGGTGAGTCAGAGCGCGAGGGAATCTGAGTATGAATGGGTCTGCGCGCGAGTGAATATATTTGCATGAGTGCGATCATGGAAACGCCTAGTGTAAGTGTCGAGCATGCCTGTCCGAACACACGTGACACTGGGCGTGGCCGCCGCAGGCAGCTTCCGCGGGAACCCCGACGGCAGCGCCCGCACGTCGCGACGCCCATGTCGGCACGCCTCTTGCGAAGATCGCGCCCGCTTTCGGCTCTTCTTTTCCTTCCTCTTTGCCCGCGCACTCCAAAATCCAAGGCTGCGGGCGCAGCGCAGCGCGGAGTCCCCGCGACGCGCGCTGGTCGCCCCGGGCGGGGCCCCAGCGACGCGCGCGGGTCGTCCGCTGCGCGAAGCAGAGAGAGCTGACTAGCTAACTGGCTGGCTGATAGCGGGCAAGTCTCTGACCGCTGGGCAGAGCGACGACGGGCGAACGAGGCGCCGGGCCCCCCGCAGCACGGAGTTCCCGCGACGCGCGCTGGTCGCCCCGAGAGGGTCCCAGCGACGCGCGCGGGTCGTCCGCGGCGCGAGGCCAAACAATTAGTCGGGCAGTCGAGAGAAGGCGCGGCTCGGGGGAGACGCTCCTCAGGTCAGGCCTCGCGGATGAACTCGGTGAAGCCGAGCTCCCTGGCGAGGGCCGTCGCTTCCCTCCTGCACCGCTTCGTGCGCGCCGCAAACTGCTCCAGCTGCTTCCGCAAGCCCTGCGGCGGCCCTGCCAGGAAGAACTCGATGCGCGGCGCCCGCATGAGCAGGAGGTCCTCGTGGCGCGTGGCGCGCGAGAGCAGCACGTAGAGCTCCAGCCACCAGTCGTCGTCCTCCTTCTTGCCGTTCCCTACCTCGTGGCGGCCGCAATCCAGGATCACGCCTGGGCGACGTCGACCGAGGGAGCAGCGCGCCGGGCAGCCGACGGCCCAGGGCGAGAGTCCACAGGACCGAGAGATGGTCTGGCCGCGGACTGCTCGCGCCCCGGAGGTCTGGCCGCCCCCGGAGCGCCGTTCCCCCGCCCCGTCGCCTTCGCGCATGGTGCGCCCCTGGCACGCCACCGTGGTGATGACCCTGCCGTGCGAGAAATGCGGGGGGTGTGCCGAAATGGGTGGGGGTGACGCATGCGGGCGGCGGCACTGAGGCCTTCGGTGGAGCTCCCTATGGAGCCACGAAACGTGTGAGGGGTGTGCCGAAATGGGTGTGGGTGACGCATGCGGCCGCGGGCACTGGGGCCTTCGGTGGAGCTCCCTATGGAGCCACGAAACGTGTGAGGGGTGTGCCGAAAAATGTGTGGGGACGCATGCGGCCGCGGGCACTGGGGCCTTCGGTGGAGCTCCCTATGGAGCCACGAAACGTGTGAGGGGTGTGCCGAAATGGGTGTGGGTGACGCATGCGGCCGCGGGCACTGGGGCCTTCGGTGGAGCTCCCTATGGAGCCACGAAACGTGTGAGGGGTGTGCCGAAATGGGTGTGGGTGACGCATGCGGCCGCGGGCACTGGGGCCTTCGGTGGAGCTCCCTATGGAGCCACGAAACGTGTGAGGGGTGTGCCGAAATGGGTGTGGGTGACGCATGCGGCCGCGGGCACTGGGGCCTTCGGTGGAGCTCCCTATGGAGCCACGAAACGTGTGAGGGGTGTGCCGAAATGGGTGTGGGTGACGCATGCGGGCGCGGGCACTGGGGCCTTCGGTGGAGCTCCCTATGGAGCCACGAAACGTGTGAGGGGTGTGCCGAAATGGGTGTGGGTGACGCATGCGGCCGCGGGCACTGGGGCCTTCGGTGGAGCTCCCTATGGAGCCACGAAACGTGTGAGGGGTGTGCCGAAATGGGTGTGGGTGACGCATGCGGGCGCGGGCACTGGGGCCTTCGGTGGAGCTCCCTATGGAGCCACGAAACGTGTGAGGGGTGTGCCGAAATGGGTGTGGGTGACGCATGCGGCCGCGGGCACTGGGGCCTTCGGTGGAGCTCCCTATGGAGCCACGAAACGTGTGAGGGGTGTGCCGAAATGGGTGTGGGTGACGCATGCGGCCGCGGGCACTGGGGCCTTCGGTGGAGCTCCCTATGGAGCCACGAAGCGTGTGAGGGGTGTGCCGAAATGGGTGTGGGTGACGCATGCGGCCGCGGGCACTGGGGCCTTCGGTGGAGCTCCCTATGGAGCCACGAAACGTGTGAGGGGTGTGCCGAATTGGATGTGATGATGATGATGATGATGATGATGATGGGAGGGGGGAGGAGGCAGCGGGAGGAAGGAAGGAAGGAAGGAAGGAAGGAAGGAGAACGCGGGGCACCGTCTCTTCAAAACGAGGACCCAACACCACAGGATGGTTGGGAAAAACACTTGGAGCCAGCTCGGGACAATCATGTTAGATACCACCCTGGGTGGCCTGGACACGTCAAAACACGTGGTGCCAGCTCGGGACAATCATGTTAGATACCACCCTGGGCGGCCTGGACACGTCAACACACGTGCGACCAGCTCTGAGCAACCATGTTAGATACACCCCTGGGTGGCCTGGGCAGTTCTGGCTCGGAACAACCATATTAGATACCCCCCTGGGGTGGCCTGGACACGTACACATTGCGCAGCACCCACACTCCCAAGGCCACGATCCCGCGGCGTCCGCGCTTCCGCGTGGATTTCGCGGCATCCGCGCTTCCAGGGCCAGGATCCCTTGTAAAATACGCGGCGTGCCGCGATCCCTCGTAAATTACACTGGGTTTGCGCTCCCAGAGCCCCCTGGGCACGGCACAACCATGTTAGATAACCCCCTGGATGGCCTGGACACGTAAAATTACGCAGCCCCCGCACTCCCAGGGCCACGATCCCTAGTAGATTACACGGCATCCGCGCTCCCAGGGCCAGGATCCCTTGTAAATTACGCGGCGTCCGCGCTCCCAAGCCGCGATCCCTTGTAAATTACCATGTGTTTGCGCTCCCAAAACCCCCTGGGCATCCGTAAACGCTCAGACCAGTCAAATTTTGCAAAACGAGCGTTTCGCTTGAGACATCCCCAGAATTTCTGCGCGCAGGACGCGCCATCCTCGAGCAGGCACGAAACAAAAACAACAGTTTCATATTTCATGTGTCCTGGTCGGGGCTCCAGGCCTCCGCACCCTCTTTTTCACTAAGGAAAACGGTGGTCTGCGGACCCCGCTATTTAGTGAGGATCCGAGATGGGGGGCAAACTTTCCTCGAGCGGGCACGCGAAAAACGCACTTGTTCAACTGACAATTCACATTTTACCTTGTAACTGATCGCAGAAAAATTCCTCCAGCCCACCTCCCGTTGCCCCCGGGGGAGAAACCAACTAGAAAACCCTGGGCCCAAGCCCTTTCCCGGGGGGGGAAAAATCCAGCAGTTCCGACGTTTCCAGAATCACGCGCCTGGCCAGCGGACGTCCTGCAATTGGTATTGCGCAGCCGTTCGGATCGGACGGGCCTCGCTTGGGAGAGTCCGAACCTGAAAGTCTGACGTCGGTTGATGCGGTCGTCGCGACGCCAAAGCGGTCGACATCCGCATGTAAGGTACTTGCGGATATCGTCGATAACATTCCCACTTCCTGCGCTGGCACCGCACCCCTTGACACCACGCCCCTCGAACCTCCTTCCCCTTCCTGCTCGCCCGGCGCGGGCCTTGGCTGAAGGCGACTTTTCCACCTTGGAGCTTTGGAAATGGGCACCAACACCACATCAGCTGTGTGCGTCCACCTGGGGGGCGGGGGGGTGATCGCAGATTTTTGTGCTGGTGGTATAGTCGGACTTGATTGGAGAGGACATGCGAGAGGACAGAAGACCCTTTCCGAGGGGCACGCTGCCACAGGAACGATGTAGGAGGCATGGGTCGCGAGACACAGGACACAAGGGTACCCTTGACTTGGCAGGGTCGACCTACTGATCAGGGCTGACTGTATGTCATCTGTCGGCCACCTGTGACCCCCGAATATTGCCACGATCGTGGAGATCGGGATCATCTTGCCTCGGCGGAATCACACCACCGCCGACCACCGCTGTGCTGCGCCGCGGGCGGGGCCGCACTGAGATATGAAGGCCCCGACGCCCGAGTCCCTGCTGTTGAAGCTCAGCAGCGACCTGCCGGACTCGTCGGCCTCGTCTAGCATGCCGTCGTCGTCGTCGTCGTCGCCGTCGCCGTCGTCGCAGTCGTCGTCGTTGTCGTCGTCAACGTCGTCGTCATCGTCGTCGTTCGCGACATCGTCGGCGTCGTCGTCGTCCGCGGCGTCGTGCTCGTCGCGGTCGTGGTCGAAGTCTTCTTCGTCGTGATCGGCGCCGTCGTGAACGTCGTCCTGATCGTTGTTATCCCCCTGGTGTTGCTGCAGCACGTCACGGTCAACAGCGGGCGCCTGCCGAACGCGCGGCGGAGGGAGATGTCCAGAGGTGGTCAGACCCCGCCAAGCCCACTGAGGACCCACCCCTGCGAAGACTCCCTTCAGGGCCCCCCTTGTCCCTCTTTCCTGGTCGTCGTCCTCTTCACTCTCCCTCGCTCACCGTCCTCCTCGAGCCTCGTCGTCCCTATGTGCCTGCATTCCCCTCGCTGCTGCTCCTTCTCCTTCTCCTTCTCCTCCTCCTCCTCCTCCTCCTCCTCCTCCTCCTCCTCTTCGTGCTCCTGTTCCTCCTCCTCATCCTCCTCCTCCTCCTCCTCCTCCTCCACCTCTACTCTTCCTCCTCCTCCTCCCCCTCGTCCTCTCGCTCCCTGCTTGTCGATGCGCGAAGCGGACTGCTCAACATCCGAAAAGATACAGTGAGAGGAACGGGAGGTGGCGGAAGACCAATGGCGGCCGATCTCTCTCACCACACTCACTCCTGCCTCTCATCCCGCCCCACCACCATCGCCCTTCCTTTGTCAGCTCGTCCGGCCCCCGACCGACATCCCTCTCCCGCGCCGCCTCTTCCTCCTTCCTCCTCATGCTTCTCCATCGTCCCTCGGCCTGCTGCTCTTCCACTCTGCGCTTCCTGCTCCTCAACATCCTTCTCCTCCCTGATGCTGCTCCACTTCCTCCTCCGTCTCCGACCACCTGATTATAGTGATTCCCCTGCTCACTCCGAATCGCCCACCTCCTCCTCGTTGTCCCTCCTTGTCCTTTCCAAATGCGGCCGGAAATGATCCTCCCTCGTCGTCGTCGTGGTCGTCGTCGTCGTCGTCGTTGTACTTCTCCTCCTCCTCCTCGTCCTCCTCATCTTCCTCCCTCTCCTCCTCCTCCTTTTCCTCCTCCTCTTCCTCCTCCTCCTCCTCCTCCTCCTCCCTTTCCTACTTACCAAACAGAATACACCTTCTGATCCACAACTTCCTTCTCCGACATTTCCTCTGTCCTCATCCTCCTAATTTCTCCTCCTCCCAAGTTCCCAAATTCTTCTCCCTTCTCCCCCTCATCCATTTCTCATCCGCCTGGAAGCTGCCCCGATACGTTCGTCTCCTCCTCCTACTCCTTCTCCATGCTTTTTCTCCGCCATCCTTCTCCTGCGCCACTCCTCCTTCTCCTCTTCCTCCTCCTCCTCCTCCTCTTCCTCAATGTTCTTCATTCGTCTCCCCCTCCTGCTCCGTCTCATTCCCCGCTCACCTCACCCCCATTCCTCCTCCACCATCCCCCCTTTAACGCGACGACGACCATGACGCCGACGCCTACGCCGTCGCCAACCATGACGCCGACGGCGACCATGACGTCAACGACGACGACGACGCCAGCGAAGGCGACCACGACGCGCCGCCGACGCCGACGACGACGACGACGCCAACGGCGACCACGATGCCGACGGCGACCACGACGCCAACGACGCCAACGACGATGACGCTTCCGACGAAGGTGGACGCGGACCCACGGGCGGCGGTGAAGGGCAGCCGCCGTGGGCAGCGTCCCGGCCAGTGGGGTGGACCTGCAGAGGAAGACCACCAAGAGGCTCGTCGGCAGCGACGTGAAGAACGCGCTCTTGATGATCCTGCTCGGAAAGGGGGGTCCTATTCACCCCCCTCGCTCCTCAGTCGCCCTCCATCTCTCCTCGCCTCGCCGCCCTCCTCCCTTAGTAGGTAACTCCTGGGAGGCCTGCGTAAGACAGATTAAGGACTACCAGCCCCGACTATGGGGCCTCAACCAGCTTCGCACGGATTAGGCCCGGGATTGGACCGCATGAAGCGGCATGAAAAGACATTGAGCTGGATTGAGCGAGATCTTGCCGCAGCAGGCCGGCTCTCGGACACGGATGCACCACCTCACTCCACCTCTCGGGCACACGCCGTCCTGGATGAGGGATCCGTGGATCTGGCACGTGGGCGCCACGCACACGGATCGAGAAACGCACCCCCGAAACACGGCGCCAGTGCCGCCTGCCTTGGCGCGGAGCGCCCCGATCTGGTGCGGAAGCGGGGCCCGTCGGCAATCCGCGCACCACAGTCCACGTTTGTGTGGGAATGCGTGTTCCCCGACCCCTGCTCTTGCCGTCGCTCTGACGTCCATTTCCCGTGCATTGTTCGGCTTCGTGCGTGATTGTTTTGCTCGATGGTCCACGATGGTCCTCGATGGTTTTCGCCGAGATAAAATGCACACGTCCGAGCGATGCCAAGTCTCTCCTTCTCACTCATCATCCTCCCTGCTCGGGCTGGATGAGGGAGCCAGGCCCTGGGGGGGAGGGACCAGGGACCTCGGAGGTTTCACCCTGCCTTCGGGCGCCCCGGGAGCTCCACGCACCCAAGAGAGCACCAGTCAGCCACTCGGAACGCAGAGCTGGTCCAGTCAGAGCGCCAGGGTCGAGCTTCAGTTACAAGCTTAGACATGATACACTCGTAGCATTTCAACATTCCGGAAAAAAAGGCTAACCGAAAACCAACCCACCGCCGTCGCCGCCTCCGCCTCCACATTGTGACCGAAAGCAGCGTCCGAGGAACTGGCAGCAGAGACATTCCTCAAAGGACACGGCGTCGGTGGGAGCGCTCCCACTCCTGCGAAATCGGTCTCCGCAGCCGTCCCCTGAGCCTCAGTCCCCTGAGCCTCAGCAGCCTTTCCGCAGGTTCTTCGCAGCTCCCTCGAAGCTCCTTCGAGACTCGCTTTCCGAAGCTAGCATGCTCCCCAGGCATGCATTCCAGCGCCCTAGCAAGCGTCTCCCACAAGCATTGTCTCAAGCTTGCAAGCTCCCTGGGCATGCTTTCCAGCGTCCTTGCAAGCGTCTTCCATAGGCATTTTACGCGCGTTGGGACCCGTCTCCCGTTGCTCTCCTCCACGGTCATACTGGGTCGATTCTGGCAAAGACCACCGCCATGAAATCTCCAAGCAAATCTTCTCGCGAATTCCAGCAAATCTTGAATCCCCAAACCATCTTCCATGCGATCACCACACGCTTTCGAATACTTTTGTGCGGGCCTTTGAACGTCTCTGGGCGTGAAGGAGCTTTCCGTCGAGAGCCCCAGGTCTTCCCAAACGCCCGCCTGAAGCTCCAGGTAAGGACCGAGAGCCGACGACTGGAGCGAAGGGGAGGAAGAAGGCTTCAGCAGGGATTGGAGACCGAGGAGCGAGGGAGGAGGGATGGGGGAGAGGGAAAGGAAGGAGGGAGGACAGGGAAGAGGGGACAAGCCAGGTGCGCTTGGGCCGTATCTTATATCCTACCCCTCCCACCCATCCCTTCGCGTGGCGCTCGTTTGATCCCTACCCGCGGAATAGCGGACCTTGCTATCCAAAGAGGACCCCATCGTAATATGGCAACCGGAAACGGGGAGCTGCGGCGCACACTCAAAGAGGATGAGGAAAGAAGAGAACGAGGAAGAACAGCAGCAGCAAGAACAGAAGAGACGGGAGGAGCAGGACACCGGGAAGGCGGAGGAGGGGAACGGAAGGGCGCGACAACGATGAGGAAAGACCCGGATCTTGCAAAGAGGCCCGCGCCGGAGAGTGAGTAGTTGTCAAGAGGGAGAGGAAGGTGCGAGGAGAAGGATAGCGCGGGGAGGGAGGAGGCGGAAGGAGAGGAGGCACGAGAGGGGGAGGAGACGAGACGGAGTGGCGGCGGTAAGGAAGGAGGCAATGAGGATATGGAGAGGGAGAGACGAGCAGGAGAACCGATGAACCCACACAAAATGCCCCCCCCCCCCCACTCTAAGTATTAGCTCTCCGCCGCGGAGCGGTTGCGACAATGGTTTCATGGTCATAGTCGTGCCCCTCAAGAAGTCATGGACTATGGAGGCCTCTAGTGGCCCCCGCATGCCCCTGGGAGGCCTAACAAACATCGGCCCTGCACAAGGATGACGATGGCGACGACGACGGCGGCGACGACGATGACAACGACGGCGGCCTTGGCCGTGGCGGCGTCGACGGGCGACAACAACGAGAAGACTGTGGCGGCGGCGCCGACCACGACTTGGCCGCACGCAAGAGTGAGCCTGGGCACGACTGAAAATCCAAGAGCGCAGGCCAAGACTGGGGTCAAGAAACAAAGCGCTGCATAACCATACATGTTCGGAGGACCGTGCGGATTTCTTGGATCTGGGCTGGAGCGCCATGGGGGCGGCTCTGGCGCGCTCCGCGCGCCAGGGACAGCGCCGATCCACATAATCAGCGCGGACCCCCAGAACTTTAGGCGTATGTATGAGGTGGACCCGCACCAGGTGGTTGCTACTCGATGGGTGGACCCACGCCAGAGATCACTTTTGCAAAGAGCCACTGCTACGCGTAGCAGAACGTAGACGAGGAGTTGAGCAGGGTCCGACGGCCCCGGTATTCCTATAAACCTACCACGAAATGTTCTTAGAACCCAGAAATGTTCCAACAATGAACACACTGTTCTTAGAACATAAACCGGATGTGCCAAAAGGAGACAGACGCAGCCAGACATGTTCTAAGAACATTTCGTGCAAACCACGAAATGTTCTTAGAACATTATTTGGTGGGCCTATAGGCGGGCCAGGACGTTTCTAAAGAACCGAACTCCATACACCGATGTTTTTTTCGGCCCCGCACTGGAACTCGCACCAAAAAGCGGATCCTGGTGTATACGGGATCCCCCCCGGGAAAGCGGGGAACAAGTACAGACAACACCACCCCGATGTCGTCCCCGATCCTAGAGAAATCCTGGGATTGAAACACAGCCCGCCACTGGCAATGTATATTTTCCAGTTTCCGAGTTTCGCCACTGCGTGAAGGAGGGCCGCGGCCGACGACGAGCGAGGCCCGCCTCCGCAGCGCCCTCGTGGAGGGCAGCCGAGCCAAGCTCGTCGGACCACGCGGACCCTTGGCCTGGCGCGCGGACTCCGCCGCGAGCCGAGGTCGGCCGCACGCGCTCGGCGTCGTTGTCGCCGCCGCGGTCGTGGTCGTCGGCGGCGGCGTCTCAAGGGGCCCTGGGACACACAAAGAAGTACACACAAACAACAGAATCCCCCATCTTTTCTAGATTATTGTCTCCCCCACTTCCCATATTTTCCGATGTTTTCTGGGGAATCGACGATTCATTGTGTCTGCATGTTTTTTTCCCTCCTGAGCGTCGTGACCGCCGCCGGTCGTGGTCGCCGGCCACGGCTGTGGTCGCGGTCACCGGCGTCGGTTCGTGACCATCGGCGGCGGCTTCGTCACCAGCGCCGTGGGGGGTCGTCGTCAGCGCGGTGGTGGGGGGTAACTGGGGCGCCCTGGGCTGGGCGGCTTCAGAAGCGGGGGGGAGATAGATGTCTTGGAGGCTTGTCGCTGGGCTGCGGGTGCGTGCGCTTGAAATCCGAAAATCTGGAGGGAATAGAGGAGCGTCATCCGGATGATCCTCCGCCTCCGCCTCCTCCCTCCTCCGCCTCCAGGGATGGAAAACAGAACGGAAGACAAGGATGATGGAAATCAATTTTACGCAGCTTGCTATCAATCCCTCACGTGCACATGCAGCTTGCGAATCACACAGCCAGGAAGAAGAGTTCTCATCTCAAAATTCCTTCAAACAAGCAGGCCAATAAAATGCGGGAGGAATCCGCCAGACCCTGCAACAGAGCCAATATATCAGCCCAGCATGCGAGTAAGGCAAGACCCTTTCCGAGTTGTTCCCAACATCTGATATTCGTGTCAAGAGAGAAAGGTACGATGACAACCTTGCGGAACAGTTCCCAATACAGATACGACTTTACATCGCCCCTAGCACGTTGAGACAAAGGTACAAGAACAAGCAACGATGCCACGCGCATCCCGTAGAATTACCGCCAAACGTAGCATGTGCAAGGCCTGTATACCTCGATGCGTATCTGCAATCTGCGCATCTGAACAAACCTGATGCGTGAAGCTCGATATTCCATTGACAAACGTGTGTTTAGTGTAGGCGCTGCGAAACGGGTGGATCTAATGTATTGCGTATAAATTGGACGACAACGCTGGTGAGCATGATGGTGAACATCACCTCCCCCCGACTCTCGGTGATCTGGCGTGCCTGTGCACTCATGGCCACCGATGGCCGAAACCCCTCGGGATGAAACTCAACGAGGTATCCTGTGTGGTGCTATCCTCGCAGGCTGGGATCATCGGACGTCCTCCCGCAGAATCCTGACGATCTTTGTTTCCCGTGCGACCCGAGAACTCCTGACCATCACACCCCGGACCACTGTCTCGCCCAAGGTCGTTTTTGTTGACAGTCCAAGGGCCCGAAGAGGCCTCTGGAGGCCCATCTTGAAAACTGATGATCCCATGGATCGAGGGATATCCCAATCTCGGCTGAGCGCACCGCGGCGGCGGCGAGCGCGCGGGCCTTCTGTACGGGGGCTGACGCGGGGAACCTGAGCCTTGGCACAGCCACTTGACAGCACCAACCTATATTAGCGCGCCGTCGCAGTTTAGCAGACGTTGCACTTCCGAGGGTCATGGCTGACAGGCGGCATGGCTTGTGACAGCTTGGTTTACTTGATGATGGCCTGCTTTGTGTTATCCCCAATCTCTCTTCCAGACTTTCCGTGATGCCATAATGCGAGAGACCTGAGGCCCATCATGCGAGAGACTTGAGGCCCAAGCCTCTCCTCCAGACGTTCCACGGCTCGCTCCGTGGTCCGGGTCACCCGCCGCTGGAGCTCTGGAACCGTGCCCGCCAACGGCACGAAGATCAGGCTCTGCTGGCCCCAGGTTGGGCGCCCGAGTTATCCGGGGCAACTCGGGTCCGGGGTAACTCGGGTTCGGATTCCCGAAGAAGGAACCCGAGTTAGCCCTGACTCGAGTTACCCCTGATGACGTGGGGCTCTGCACGCCCGAATTATCCGGGGTAACTCGGGCCCGGGGTAACTCGGGTTCGGATTTCCGAAAAACGAACCCGAGTTGGCCCTGACACGAGTTACCCCTGATGATTCGGGGCTCTGACCAGGGGCGCTGGAGACGGCCCCGGGGGGCCGAGAGTCACGAGAGACGCGAACGTGCTGCAGACAGAATCAGCCACCAGCCTGGGCTCAGGACGGAGAGCGCCTTCCGGGGGCGCTCCTGGGACGGCCTCCGGAGGATGGGGCGGAGCCCCCACCGTGCAGCAGCGGGAGACAGCGCAGGGCAGGTGCAGGTTGGATCGGAGGAGGGGGAGCCGTGATCCAACCGGCCTCCTTTCGGGGCACATCAGGCTGCGAGGCGTCGGAGTCTCTGAAATTCATGAGCTGGGTAGCCGAGCCTAGTTTCCGTCGGTGCAACGAGGCAGTTCTGCAATGCTGCAATGGTCTTTGGGGAGCGACTTGGCCACCGAGATGTTCCAGCCACCACCTCTCAGAGCACAGAGCACACAGCTGTCCTCTGCTCCGAAGCGGTGAGATCCTAAGCTTTTGAGGCCGCGCGCGAAACTGCTCCTCGGCCCGAAGAGCCCCACTGCAGCACCTCCGAACCACGCCCTCCGAATTCCTGGACGCCCTGGGACACGTGAGATCATCACGGGTCCGCACCTTCGAGGCCACGAACCCCCGACCAGTCATAACTGGGGGAGCTGTGGTCCTTACCCCCCTGGGGGAACCCATCGCATCGATGATCTCTCGAGAGGGGTGTCGAAATCGATGGGTCCCCAAGGGAGGTAAGGACCACAGCTCCCCCAATTGTGGCTGGCCTGAACCCCAGCAGCCAAACCGGATGCCCCGCGCCTTCGAGGCAGCGGCCAGTTGCGAAGCTGGTGGGCCGGCACACTCGAGGCCGTCCCTCGTGAGCCACTGTGGGCCGTCGCCCCCGATGCCACGATGCACTGCACAGCAAATGAGCCCGCTGTGGAAGTGCTCCAGTTTTCAGTGTATAGGTTTAGCATGTGGAGAGGCGTTCCGTATTCACTTGTGGCTCAAGCCAAAAAGCATATCGGGGTCTTGCTGCTGCCACAGTTGGTAGCGGAGCGGGGAACCCCGCCGTGCGGCCCATGGGACCTGGAGAGCGGAGTCGGAGCGGCTCCAGCCTCTAGGCCTCGAGCGCCCGCGGCGCGGACCTCGCTCTGAGATCCGACTGGCGTGGCATCCACGGCATGGCAGGTGAAGAAGAGGCAGGTGACGGGCCGAGAGAGTTCTCTGGGGCGGTGCTGACCGACGGGAGCCAACAGGCTCCAGGTGGGAACGGTGCTGCAGGAGGACTATCGGCGGCACAGCTGCGAGAGCTAATCGCCGGAGTAGTCAGGGAGACTATCAGTGCGACGGCCTCGGCAGCTGCCGCCTCAGGCCCGGGAGAGAAGAAGCACGACGTAGAGGACCCCTGGCAGCAGGCAGCCAGCAGCGCCTTAGGCGCATCGGCGGCAGCAAGACGAGACGGTCCACAAGACGGTGCTGACGCGGGGCAGTCCAAGGACTGCATCAACAGGGACGAGTCGGCCTGGGACCGCTGGAAGCCGGAGAGCGACGGCTGGCGGTCCAGGGACGACGACGGCTGGAAGTCCAAGGACGTCCAGGACAGCGGCTGGCGGGACGCCGACTGGAGGACCGCCCGATGGAGCCAGGACTCCTGGGGCGGCTTCAGCGGCAAGGGCGACTACTCGGACCCACCCGCCTGGCCTGGTTGGAATCACTATCGGCAGTGGCGGCGTGCGCTCAAGCGGTGGGACACCAACACCGACGTGCCCGCCTGGCGCCGGGCGGAGAAGCTGCTCAAGCTCTTCGACTACAATCTGCAGGCGAAGTTTGACGACGTGCCGGAGAGCACGCTGACTGGTCCAGGCTGGTTAGACGTCATCCTCGGTCGCATGGACATGATGACCGGCGAGCGCGAGGGCGATGACCTTCGCCGAGCTGGAAGGAAAGCACTCTTCGAGGCTCAGCGGCAGAAGGACGAGACGCTGATACAGTTCGTGAGCCGTCGAGAGGCGCAGCTGACGGAGGCTGAGTCGCACGAGATGTGGCTGTCTCCCAAGCTCAAGGGTCTCCTCCTGGAGGAGGGGGCTGGCCTGACACCCCAGGGCCAGCAGAACCTCCGGACTCTGACGCAGGGGCGGATGGACTACAGCAGCGTCTCCTGGGCCCTCCGCCAGATGGACGCGACCGGCAGTGAGCGGCTACTTCCAGGTAGGCAGGGTTTCGGAGCCATGCTAGCGACTGGCGCTGAGGACCAGGATCCCAGCGAAGTCGAGGCTAGGCAGGCTTTTCCCTCCTCCTCTTTCCCTCCCTCCGGTCGGTCCGAGGGTGGTGGCGCCTCCGGGGACGAGGAGGACGAGTCCGACGAAGAGGACTACGACCAGGAGTGGGACGAAGCCACCATGGCTGCTGTGCTTGAGGAGCTGGACGACCTGGACCTCTTCGAGGACCAAGTGGAGCCGGCGCTCGCCATGATGGCCAAGCGCTCCTGGAAGGAAAATAAGGACATCAAGCGGGCTGCCAAGAAGGACCGCGAGTACTTCGGAGGGCGACGCCTGGGAACTGGGTCCCGGGACACTCCACCTCCAGCCAAGCCTCGCGGCGCGGGTCGCCCTCCACGTGACGGGCGTGCTGCAGGCAAGGGAGGTGGACGTGGAGGACGACCACGTCTCACGATCGAGCAGAGGATGAAGATCTCCAAGTGCAAGATCTGTCACAAGAAGGGCCACTGGCACCGCGAGTGTCCGGACAACCCGGACAACAAGGTCAAGGGCAGGTCGATGTCGGCCTACACCTTCACGGGCGCCGTCGGCGTGGGGGCCACGCCAGAGACGATCTCCCAGTGGAGGGACCTCCAGGAGGAGATCACCAAGGACGACGTGTTCCTGGTCTCCCTCGCCACGCAGGCGCTCGTGGACCCGGGGGCGGGCAGTGACTTGGTAGGCGTCCAGGCGCTCAACCGAGAGTCGCGAGCACTGGCAGAGCGGGGATTGC